AATTGATATTATTATTATTATACATTATTATATATTATTATATTATGGATAATATAATAATTATATTATATTATACCACTTATATCTGTGCTCTGCGCCCACAGGGACCAAGGAACAGCTCCAAGGATTTTTGAAACAATGTCTAGAACATTTTATGTGCAAAGTAAATTCCATTTGGTTTAATTTCTTTGCGACTTCAGACTAAAAACAAAAGGGATTAATTTAACATCCTGTACTCTGCCTCCTCTCCTCTCCCCACCTCCACACACATCCACCTCCCTACCCAGGGAAAGGTCCCAGAATGTATTTTGGAGAAAACTTTCTGGGCATGAGCCTTTGCAGCCTCTCCAGGCTCAGACCCTGGATATAGACGGTAAAGCTCTGATACTGGAATAAGCTTTAAGAGGTGTCTCATCATCATTCAGTTGCTTTGTTTACCCTCCTCGCAATACCTTGTAGTTGCCTGGGTCATAAGTAAGCGCGTTTCCAAGGTGTTCAAAAGCCTTCTGGTAATCACCAAGCTGGAAAAAGAATAAATAAGCATCAGAAATTCAGGATTCATGGGGGGTTAAGAAGGAGAACACATGCTTTTTAGGCACTAGAATTTCTGGTTCAGCTAAAAAAAAATATTCAGAAAACTTAATTTTATACTGCTCCCATTATACACACACATTCTTGGTGGATAATGTACAAAACAGATTCTAAAAATATATTTTGCTGGGCTGGATTCACTGTTCTGATCAAAACAAAGTTTTCCATATAGTTTGTGCTCTGGCTTTTCTATATAGGAGCAAGCTCTGGATTGACACCCCTCTGCTCCTTCCTCTCATCCAGAAAAGAGGCTGCAAATTGCTACTGTCCACATCCTCAGTTCCCTTGCCACAGCTCCCTCACTCCCCAGGGCACTCTTTTCACATGAAAAACTCTTCCCTTGTCTTCTCATGGACTGCAAGTGCTAGTGGGCATGACCATGTCCATGTATAAGCACATGACTGCTTAGTATCCCTTAAATCCTATTGTTTTCAACTGAATTATGCCAGAATTGTACCAGTCCAAACAGGATAAAATACTGGTGTCCTTTTCTAGTCACAAAAATTGATGAGAAGCCCGTCTGTCACTCCAGCAATGCCATTGATGCATCAGAATCCTGTGCCTTCTGTAATTAATAGCAAGCGGGAAAGATGTAAAAGCATTTTTAAAACTCCTGAAGGTGAGTACGTACCCAGAGACACGACAAACTGAGCAAATGAATCCCAGCACAGCAACCTGGGGGCTAAATTCGCAGAGCAAATGTTGTACTCACACTGCTTCTGTCTCACAGATCCCCCTTTCCCATGTCATATTCCCTTCTAATTCCACACTTAAGACATTCAAAGCTCTGACTGAATTTCCCTATCTCCAGAGCAACGTAATTTTTTTCGAGACCTACATTTTATTCTCAAGCATCTAAACGGATAGGGAGATGTTTAAGGATGCCTTTATAATTTAAATATATTATGATTTTCTTCTGTGGTGCATTAAGACTAACAATTTCATGGCTGCTTTTGTAAAAGAATAACTTGCTCGACTCCTGCTCCAGAAGCAAGGTAATGACTAGTCAGGTTTTGTTGTACTTGGAGGATTTATAACAGAATTAGAGTGATTGCCAAACAGAATTCCTCTTCTGGCTCAGGTCCAGGTAATCAACTTGCTTTTAGCAGCAAAAGGAAAAAAAAAAGATAAAGAAAAGCTCTGCCATGTTAAATGCAGTCTTCAGAGAAACATGCAGGTTATAGGAAGGTGGATAGAAACTAACTCTATAAAAAAAGGAAAAAAAACCTTGGTCATTTTGAAAATAAGTTCATGTAATAGCAGACAGTGCTCAGTACCTGCAAGTAAAGTAACCCCAGTGTTGTAAGGAGGTCTGTGTTTTCTGGAGAAAACCTGAAATAGAAAAAACAGAGAGCTGCATTGTTTATCAGCCCTTCTAGAACAAGGTAAAAACAGAACATGGAATTATGATGCTACATTAGACTAGTATCACCCCAGGAAATTAACTGTTATCAGAACAACGATTACAAACCTGGACTGCTCCCCACGGCTTTGTGCTGCACTGCAGCCCGCAGAGCGGGGCACTCCGACAGGCCCTACCCTGGGAGCTGACCTACCCCTGGCCATACGCACTGCTCCATTCAGCACGGAGGAACTTGGAAAAATGGGTCACAAGGGCTTCCAAGTACTGTCTGCAACTCCAGCCTTCACTGCTAGTTGGAGGATCACATGGCAATGTTGTGAACCCTTTTAAAAGCATCCCCGTACCCAGCAGCTTTTGAGAACATAGGTACAATGAAAACCAAAAAAAACAAAAAAAAAAAAGAAAGAAAGAAAAAGCAGAAAGAGACACTCTATATTTGTGTCCTCTCTCACCTTGATAGCAGAAGTCCCTGCTATCAAGACATAAGAAATCTAATATGCACAATCACATAAGCACCTTTAAATCTCAACCAGAACAAAACCACGTGTGCCCGGTGGTGTAAAAACAGAGACCAACGACAGACGATCCTGTGCTGGTAACAGCAGGCAAAATGGAATAGGCAGGTGAGAACCGAAAAAAATAAAAAAAAAAACAGGAGTGAGGAAGAAGAGAGGATGGGGGGAGCACCCAGATAAGATATATAAACCTGGTAAGATGCTTAGCAAGGATTATTTATGTAATAAACACTCCAGATTAGTCCAAATGTCTGCCCAACCCAACATACTGTCAGACAGCAGCCAAAAGCAGATGTGTAAGCAAACAGTATGTGAAAAGAACCAGCACAAAATGCAGATCCTGCACTGGCTTCCGGCAGGCTCCTGCTTTTCTTTAATGTTTGCTTCCATTACAAAACTCCATTTTAAAAGCACTGGTAAATCAGCTGCTCCCTAAAACAAGATGGATGGGTACTGACAAACAGCGGTGAGGTGGGAGAAACTCACCGTCCACCAACCCATCTCTCATCTGCCTACTCACACGCTGTCAAACACAAATCACAGCATGCGAAACCCAGAAACTGCTTTTGGACAGACGATGTGGGTTAGAGAGACACCTGGGGTTAGATCTTTTTAGTAGATAAACCTTTGGGATTTCTGAAGTCGGTTTTGGATAGGTTTGCTCCCAGGCATCTCTGTCCATTTGTTTTTTTCCACCTTTTTTTTTTTGGCAGACCTTCACACAGCTGCTGCCTTCTTCCCTGACACACTGTCAGCAGGAGGAGGACTACAGCTGAGAGCAGAGACGGCTGAAGAGCTTGAAAGCGCCAGCTTTGCACAGAGATGCTATAATTACCATTAGTTTTTTAATCATGTCCTCAATTCAGATCCAGGACAGCAATCAAATTTCTCCTGGCATAGGATGGGTTGTGGGCAGATAGGAAAAAGGATATATTCTTACTCTACAGCTTTCTTATAGACTTCAATGGCTTTCTCCGTCTCCCCCTCCAATAGGTGAATTTTCCCCAGCATCATGTAAGTCAGATCATGTCTGTTGAGCTCCAGGGCATTGTTTAGCTGGTCTCGTGCCTAAACACACAACCACAGAGAATAAAAAAAAACAAACAACAAAGTGATTACAGAGACCTCAGTGAAGCAAGAGCCCAAGAGCAATCCACAGCAGCTAGTGAAAGCGAAGAGCCAACAGCCCCTGAGCTCGGAGAGCCCTCCTAGCAAAACCCAGCCCAACCAATTGTTCAAACAAGTTTTCCATCAGGAGCCACATGCTTTCAGGGACAGAAAAAGGCACCGCGGCACGCTGCAAGCCAAGCCAAGAGGCAATGACCTCCCAAAGAAGAGAGGAGCACAGGCTTGTTCCTGGATTTGAATTTGGTTGGAGGGAAGATACAGATTTGTCAGGTTAACAGGTACATTACAGTTTATTCTTCGCTAAAATGCTTGTTCCAGCAATGCACCTAGGGGAGGGTTAAGTGAGGAGCTGGGAATGGTGTGCTCACACCCGGGAAAAAAAACCCATTTCAAGCTTCCAAGAAGTTCTTCATTAGCTACAAAGCTAATAAAGTTTGTGCTGCCCACCCTGCAGTGATGCTCTTTTGTGACTTTTGCTCCAGGCTTAATGCAAAAGGAGCTTCAGACACAGGAGCAAATCCTTTCTATTGAGGAAAAAAAGCTGCCTGCAGCCCTTCCAGCAAACAAACCCCATAACTCTTCTCTCCAAATCCTGCAGACCCAAGAGGCAGCAAATTTCCTTCAGAAACTCTCTGCATGGGTGCAGCATTTTGAGCTGTATGCTGGGGAAATGGCTTGGGTCTTTACCATCACACTTCTCTTTTTCAAGACGATGGAACTGGTGTGCTCTATGGATTGCTGCTCCTCACAAAGCCAGCAGTGTTTATGGCTCTGGTTTTGAAACAGAAGCAGCTCTTGTTGGAGCACAGCTGGTTTTCTGTCTAGTTTGAGGCAGTCCTTTGAGGTTTCTCAAACATTCCCTTTAAAACCATAAACGTTCTCTGAAAAATCCTAGTTCAGAAAAAGCCTCTTGACTGGCAACAAGGCTAACCTGAGTTTCGCTCTCAGCCAACTTGACTAACTTGCAGCTGACTCAAAGTAATTCAAAATGCAAATGAAAACACAGACAGCTCACCAACTTTTGCTCCCGGAAACAAATGCTGAAGCAAAAACTTCCTTGATACCTATCACTGCAAACGACCCACCTAAATCTACCAGAGAGAGTATAATTTCTAGGAACCCTGTTTCAAATTTGTCAGGTAGGTAAGACGAGCATTTGCGTTACCTTGTTGAAGTGTTTCAGGTACATGTAGCACACACCCAGGTTGTGGCTGATCTCCTGCAAAAAAATCCACAGCAAAACATTTGAGATAGATGCTACATAACCTCTCGTGCTAACAGCCATCACCAACCCGGATGGAGACACCCCTGTGCCTGCCCACACCCTTCTCGCTTTGTAGTTCAAATAAACTGATAAATTCAAGTTGTTTCGGGGACCTACAGACCTTAAGTGTGATTGTACACAAAAGGCTACAGGCCATTGAGATAAAAACATCGAAATGATGACGGTGTCTTCAGAGAACAAGGAGCAAAGCTTGGTTTCTTCAGTGAGACATGACTCGGTTCCCAGGGAGATCTCTGGAGCTAGATAAGTTAAAAGGAGGGTGTAGTGAGGGGAATGCTGGCCTCTTCTCTAAAGTAACAATTGATAGAACAAGAGGAAATGGCCTGAAGTTACACCAGGGGAGGTTGAGGCTGGATATTAGAAAAAATCTCTTCACTGAAAGAGTGATCAGGCATTGGAACAGGCTGCCCAGGGAAGTGGTGGAGTCACCATCCCTGGAGGGGGTCAAGGAACATGTAGATGTGGTGCTTCAGGACATGGTTCAGTGGGTGAGGTGGTGTTGGGTTCGTGGTTGGACTTGATGATCCTTGAGGTCTTTTCCAACCTTAATGATTCTATGATAAGTTGCTCTTACGGGTGGCTCTCAATCTACCTGTACAGTCATTAGGATACGCAACATGCTGCACAAAATTTGAATATGTGCCTAATTTTCCAAAAAAAAAAGTGGAGTACCAGAAGGGCTGATATCCCTCTGAAATCTTAATTTGCAACAGAGCAGGATCACTTAGGGATGCTAAACCCTCCAGTGACACTGTAGGGAACAATCATGCCTCTAATTCATCACCAACAGTTTAACAAACTCCTCGCCATCTTCCCCACCCTGGCACATCTTGGGGAGCTGAAAAGCAAGGTGCACTCATTCCTCATTTCTATTCTGGTGAGCATTTCACTGCTTCATCAGTTTAGACAGCCTTGACCTTTAAGAGGAAACTCTCTTATTTCCCCATTAACCCTCTTAGAGTGATCTTTTTCTCCCACAGTCTCTCCAGTATGAGTAATGAATCAGTAACTCCTGGTTCCTGAGGCTTGCAGAACGAGACAGCGCAAGGGAAGAGCACAGGCTGGCTCTGCTTCCAGTGCTGAGCCAGGTATGGGAAATAACTAATCAAAACACCCACTGGAGGCTGCCTGCTGTGCTTGTAAATAGGGGTAAAGTCACGTCAAATATACACTGCCAGTAGCTTGGTTAGCTGAGGGAATCAGACTTGAAATAAGACCCACAGTGTAAAAGCTTTCTGAATTGTCTGGCACAGGTTAACTTGAATAATACCAAACATATCCTTGTATCAAGCCTGAATTTTAGACGTACTGAGCACCAAAAGTACTTCCCATGCTTAACACATACAGATGGCTATGTTAATACTAATATTTTGCAAAGCTCAAACATGTTGCTCAATTCTCTGTGCCCCAAGACTAGGTGGGGGATTTTGCAGGTCGAAACGATGCCTTGCTCCTGCCATCCAAACCAGCTGCTGGCGAGGCTCATCCGTGCCCATGAACCCAGGCTAAAAGCCTCTGAGCCCTGTAGCACCTCAGCCGCTCAGGCTGCGGGCAGCGTGAGCTCACCTCTGCTTGGAACAAGTTTGCAGCTGTTTGAACACTACAATCATCTGCAGCTCACTGAAACACTTACCCAGTCCTTTTCATTGAGTTTAGCTGCTTCGTTGTACACTTCGATGGCTGCCTTGTGCTTCCCCAAAAGAAACCTGCAAAAGCATTGCAATTTCTATTTTTTTTTTGCTTTGAAACCCTGCTGTGCAACCACTGTCACCTTTGCCAGTGAGAAATGACGCTATTTGTTTGTTCTCCAGAGACCCGCGTGAGAAGCCCCGAGAAGTTTACCACCTCAGCAGTATTGCAAATCCTTTCAGGGCCAAGGTCATCAATCCTGTGAGATGCTGAGACACTCCCTGACGTTACTCGAGACGGAAGGAATGAATTTGCAGGCTCTGCGGTCTGCCTTTGTCTCAAAGGAAAAACACGGGTGATCTAACTGGACACTCAAAGGCAGAACAGGGTCCATAGGGCGAGTTCACACAGCCCAACTCAGCACCCTTCACTCTGGAGCTAGGAATCAGTGCGTTACCTCTCTTGCTTAAACCACAAAGAAAAAGAAAAATACAATGGCAGCCAGGAGGAGAACAGAGCTTCTGCTTGTAAGGGTAGCCCACGCTTCTGGTAGGCAACTCAAGTGTCAATAAGCACGTTTGGAATTCTGGAGCTAGGAATCAGTGCGTTACCTCTCTTGCTTAAACCACAAAGAAAAAGAAAAATACAATGGCAGCCAGGAGGAGAACAGAGCTTCTGCTTGTAAGGGTAGCCCACGCTTCTGTAGGCAACTCAAGTGTCGATAAGCATGTTTGGAATTAGGCAGCCTGGGATGTCACTCAGTGCCTGGGAGAAAAACCAAACATGAAAGGTCCTGGGTGGCACATCAAAGAGGAACAATAAAACACCACTCACAGCGATCGTGCCACCTGCTTGAGGTTGTCAGCGCTTCGAGGGTTCAGAATGGAACATGTCTGAAAAAGTTCAAGAGATTCTTGAATTTTCCCCTCCAAGCGAAATATCAAAGCTGTAAGACAACATAGACCAGGCAAATTAGTTCATTATCTGCAGGAAAAACGTGCCTCTCTGACAGCAGGGAAAGAAGGAGAAGGACAGATATATTATAACTACGCTTATTTGGCCCTTTCCCCTCCTGCAGCAACCTCAGGCAGAAGCTGTGGCTGAGGGCAGAATGACAACACATGCAAAAGACTCATGCACGCCCAGAAAAATTTCTGTTCTTTAGAAAAAAGGCAGCTTTAAACCCTGGCAAGCTGCTCGTTGAGATGCAGTCTGGATTTCTCCCCCCACAACTTCTCCACGCTGCAATATGTCCTCGGTCAACAAATCGCAGCTGTCCCCCACCACAGCACTTGGAATTGCAATGGAATCATTTGAGGCACATTTTTTAGGGGACAGAGGGCAGGAGAGGAAGAGGAAGAGCATCCTTAAAGCAAACAGTAAGACACCCAGCACACACCAACACACTGAAGGCCCATAGTCCAAGGAGGAACTGATGACAAACTCATCAATACAGAAAAGCCAGAAAATCTCATCTGCCATCCATGTGGAAATCCCAAACTTCAAAACTAGACCTGGCAAGTAGAAAAAAAGCCAAATATTTTTTTACATACAAATTTCATATGTTTCTATCATCTGTTCCCCTTGTTGTCCCCTGTATCTCAAATCAGAAGGAACTCGCTTTAGCAGAATTAAGACTTTCAGAGGCCTCCTGTGACATACCTTGAACGTAGACTGCGTATTCACACAGCCCATTAGACTCCTGGAGCTGCTCTTTGATGACAGCCTGAAATGACAAAACACAGAGCACATACCAAACGCAGTCTCCATCACCGAAAAGCCCGTTCGCTGGTCCACTACTACCCAGTTACTAAACTGCAGCATGGCAGCTTTCCGAAGAATAAAAAAAAAATGAATAAAAACCCTTCAAATATTTTAATAAAGGGCAATCCCTGTGAAAGAAAATTGATTTCTGACTGATCAAATACGTTCTGCAACCTTGGAGAATTTTTTGTATGTGCTGAACCTGTGCTTATTGCAGAATGCCCTCAAATAACTTGAATTTAAACCTCACGCAACATGTTGTTGGGCACAGTTCTTCCTTCTGTCATGGTAACAGTGGTATCACGCAGGACATGAGAACTACAAAATTCATTTAATCCAAATTCATGCTTGGAAAAGTCAGTATCAACACAGAACTTGCAGCTAGTTGCTGCAATATACTATATTGAATTGCTAAAAAAAGTTGTAAACTTTCATCATTTTAACAAAGGCAATGACAGAGATTTGGGTTCAGTTACACAAACCACAGCCCCACACAAAATCAAGGCACCGGACCGCGGCGGGGGCAAATAAAAGAGCGCTCAGAAAGCAAGATCATCACCGTGTGTGAGGAGCACTGAGCCAGGAATACTGGAGCCCTTTTAGTATTTCTCTGTTGGTTCCTATTACCAAAGATAATTAGATATTACCCAGGGAAAACGCCACGAGGAATCTCTGAAAGCATCCTCTGCTGATAAGGGCATCTACTCGATGCCCTTTGTGAAGAAATAAATTGAATTGGAGCAACTGCAGCTGAGTCAATGAAAGCCAAATGAACAAATGACGAGTACATGGGAAAAGGAAGGGGAAAAAACCAACTTGATGAAAATGTAAATTCTTGCTGTTTTTTTTGCGGGTGCAGTTTGGCTTTATTCCATAGTCACACACGCTCCCAAATTATAAAACTGGTCAAAAAAAGCGACCTTCGGGAGGATGAGCACTGCGGCTCCGAACAAAGCACATCATTTCTGCTCTGAGACTCCTCTTTTTGCTCGAAGAGACAAAGGGGGGAAAGAAAGATTTCTGGGCTAGCAATAACCTGGTGCTCAGCTGGCATTTCTGTCGAGTGGATGAGCAGCACCAGCCTCCCCTGTCTCTGAGAGGAATGGAAATGAAGGAGCTGAAAACAGGGAGGAAAACTGAACCTCAACTATAGCACCCAGAAGGAAAGCAGGGGGAAGGCAAGCAGGGTTATTATTGAGAATCCTCACTTGTCAAAAGACAACTCAAGAGAGGAAGGAAAAAGAACAAGTTTAGGCTGCTCTTCCCCTCAGATCTGTATCTGCTAATATCTCTGCATTTTATTCTTTACAAAGCACATTATTATAGGACAATCAGCTCAGACATAACCAAGCATCTCCCGAATACGGATATTCTATATTGCTCCATCTACATCAAACCAGTTTCCCAGAGCAAGAGAGGGCAATAGAGAGCTATCTTTCTGATTAATTCTCTAAGCCCTCAGAAATCCCACAGCAAAAGGCCTCGAGCTGAGAAATATGATCTGTAATCCCAGCTTTTCCTCCCAAGTTTATTTAACTCACCAACAGAATTCAGACCTACTGGCAGGGGACCAACCAGCAGGAGCGATTTTAATTAATTAAAAGCATCTGGTAATTTTAATAATTCCTTCCTCACACATAACAGAAACGGAAGATTTCTGTTGTGAAAAACGGTTAGGGGGCAGGGCTGGAATTGATGCTGCGAGCAGAAAACGCGGTTTATTAGCTTTGCATGCGAAGAACGAGAGCTGAGTGATGATCACTGCTTAGCAGGGCTTGTCCCTCCTCTCTGCCTGTGCGATCGCAGGGGATGCTGCAGCCGCAGGCTCCGGGGGATGTTTGCCTTGCATCTTGCTGGGTTGAAGGAGAGGCAAATCAAACAGTCAACATTATTAATCTCTCACTGTAACAAGCAGCTAAATTTTCCAAAAGCTTGGCAAGACCAAAATAGACACAGGAGTGGCACCGGCAGGGTTAAGCTCAATTTAATGCCTTCACTTTGGGGAGATAATGTTGGGAAACAAACAATTTTTTTCTCAGCTTTTTACATCACTGACAAAAAGGGGAGCTTTTAAAATCACATTAGAGAGGAGGCATTTCAAAGCATTGAGCGGGACAGAGGGTCTAGCAAGACTCAGACGAAAATTCAGAGCATCACAGGTCACTTGTTTCTTAGCCAAGTCTTAAGAAAACTAACGAACTTTAATGAATAACAAAGCTCTACTGAAATCAAGGAGCCAACAAGGGGATACTGTCAATAGCTTTTTGGTTTTTGAAGGTATTAGCCCCAAATAGCACGTTTGGGACTGCCAATGCCTATCACATGTAAGGACAAACACTCGGGGCATCCAGGTGAGATCCAGAACCCCATGTAACAGCAGCAGAGAGAGACAGAGCCTACCCAAGGGCAGCTCATCCCGCCTAAGATCTGAGTCACCTTTTGAACATGCCCATCACTCCTCAGTGACTGAAGAAGCATCCTGGCACGCTGAGGTTCTTCCCTCTTTTTGGACAAATCCAGGTGTCCGAGCACACACCCATCACATCTGGGTGGAAGGACGGAAGATCATTTAACCAGCTGTGGTCTGGTGCCAAACTCTTCCAACTTTACTGCAAAAAGCCTGTTTTAGGAGCCCTGCGGAATGGCTTTGCTGCCTTTTACTTTGACAGCTACTGCAAAGCCAACCTGCCAAGCAAAAGAGCATTAGCTGTCTTCTCTCAATTTTTTCCTTATATTTTGCTTCATTCCGTGACTGATGAAGATGTGGAGAAGTCAATGTTGCCATGATATCATCCACTTGGTTATTTTCTCTGTTTTCTCGAGCTGTACAACTTTTCTACATCACAGAAACAGTAAACGGACACGGTAAGAGCCCAAAAAATGCAGCGAGATCAACCAAAAAGGGAAACAATTTTATCTTTGGATTGCTAGCCCAACTTTTGTTTATATCTATTTAAACCAAAATTGCTCTGATGATGATACAACCCTCTGACTCCATTAATTAAAAGCTAAATGAATTTCCTCCAGCCTGTCACTTTCCGAAGCACCCCCAGGAGCTCTGCAGCAGAGAGAAACAAGTCCTGACCAAGCCTGGTGCTTCAGAAGCAAAAAAAGTCTTTTCAGATCTTCTTTGCACACGACAGAAACAGAAAGGCAACTCTTATTCCGCTCCTCCTGCCTGCTAGCACATCATCTTCAACAGCTCGTGTTCATTTTGCCAAGAAAACACACTGCTTAATTACAGATCTGCCATTTCGTTAATCTACTTGCTGTTATCATAGAATCACAGAGTGGTTTGGGTTGGAAGGGACCTTAAAGATCCCCAAGTTCCACCCCCCTGCCATGGAGAGGGACACCTCCCACTAGACCAGGTTGCTCAAAGCCTCAAATAATATATACTTTATATATATCTATTATAAAATAATAGATCTAATTCCAAATAAACAACCACTTCCAAGCTACACAGCAAACCCAGAAGAAATGAAAGGGTGCAATGTATCATGTGTAAAATGAAAGAATTTTGTTCAAGAGTAACCAAAATCTCTTTTTTTTAGACTCGGTAGTGATGCTTTGCTCGATTGAAGTATTTTCCTAGCGTCTCTGTAGTACCATCGAGAGACCTGCACTACGGAACTGCGTTATTATCAGTTTGAAAGACCCTATCCATCACTTGGAACAAGAGAGGTTTGCAATTTTTTCCATTTTTCCACTCCCAAAGACATACTGAGCTCATGGATTGTTCTAGAGAACTCCACGCATGAATCCTGAAGGTAGCCAAGGATTTGAAAACATTAAAGTTATTTACTTGTATTTTCTCCTGGTCCTCTTATTCCAAAAGGAGTCAGGAAAGAGGGTGGTCTGAAAACTGGTAGGAAAACTATCCTTTTATAACATTAGTAAAATACTTCCTAAAGCAACGTGTCAAGAGCAGCTCTTACCTTGCACTCCTCGTAGTCTCGGCGAACGTACAGCAGATAGATCAACCAGTTCTTCCTCTCTGGGATTGGTAACTCCAGCCCTACATGTAAAATATTAACAGAATAGAGGAAATCACCAACTCTGCACACGTTTTAATTCAACACTAATGCTGCTTTGGTGGAATCGGTTCCTCCAAATACACAAGAAGCAGCGCGGAGGAAACAGGTTGGATTCACATTTTTTAACTAGGGCAGAAGAATCAAAGGGCTTGAAAATAAATTTCTGGGAGTGAAGGAGATGGAAACAGGCAATACGCACAAACGGAGATTTTGGAGAAGCTGCTGGTCTGAAGGTGTGAATAATTTAAAGAGGTCAAACTGAGTTCTTTGAAACTGTGAAGGGACTACGAAACATCACAGGTCTAAGACAGTGCGAAGCTACCGGCAGAAAAACACGTTTGATGCAGTGGAGGAGAAAGACTTGCGCTCCGGCATTTCAATCCTAAGGAGCTTGCAGCAGTAATTATGGCAAATCACGAATGGATGTTGCTTGGCAATATTCACGTTGGGTTTCAAAGTTTAACGTGCTGCTGTGCATTTCATTAAGGCTTGAAATGTATTGCTTGTTACTCATTTCTACAGTTCTGATGCTGGTAGCCCAGAGGTAACCATAGCAACCACCCCAAAAGCTGTATGTTTGCAAGTCAATATTATGACAGAAGTGTAAAAGCCAAGCGAGGCGAGGGCTGGCGCAGGAGCCAGGGCAGCGGTGGGGACAACCCAGCACCAGGCCACCGTGGAGCCCGGCACAGACCCACACTGCCGAGGGACATGCAGACTCCGCTTCCAACGGCGCAGAGCAGAAGGAATTATTTGAGGTTGTCCGCGGTCCTCTCTGCCAGCTGATGCCGTGGGTCATGATCAGATGTGAAAAAGAAGGAGTTCTGCAGGTGGAAGGACCAAATCACGTCAAGAAATGTTATCGGTGCAAAGTGTTGTTATCTCTTAGAAATGCTGAGCTTTAATCACGCGAGGACTGCACCTGCGGCTACCAGCAAGCACATCGTCAAGGCTCTCCCCCACAGTTCACACCAAGTCTAGGATCACTGAGAGCACTTCAAAGCAACACAATTTTCTTCTGCTGATGAGAAAAATTTTGTAAAACCATTCTGGTTTTGGTTGGTTTTCTTTTTTTTTAAATTCTAGAATAACCAGCCAGGTTTATACTAAGATGGAGCTGAGATTTAAGTGTACACACCAGCAATTTCAGGTCAAACACCTTATAAAGCAAGCTATTTCTATAAAGAAATACAAAGCTACCCTAAAAACAAATAGAAAAACACAGTTCAAACAAAAAAGCAATCCAAACAAGCTAGGCTTACAGAAACGCACAGATCAGGGATTCACATGTTCCCAAATTCTGCTTTTTAGTGTGATATCTGGATTTTAATATTTGTGTTCCCAGATCAGATTAAGTGATTTCTGATGACTTCATGTTTTCTATTTGTCCTTCTTACAGTGAAGCCATAAAGGGAAGAGTTAGGAGGCTGCCTAAACAGCTACAAATTGATAGAAAAAACACAATTTCATACAGAGTCTGGGGGACTGCTGGTCCAAAGCCCGTTGAGGGGTTACCTAATTCATTAACCGATTTGTAATGACACTCAGGGCTTGACAGCACTTTCTTTTCCAACAAATACAGAATTTGGGGATGCTAGAAATGACCTGCAGAGCATGCTCTTCCTTCATAGTGTCTCCGTATTTGTCCTGATTCAAAATACTGAACCAAACATGTGTCCTGGGCACTTCTCGCTTTCTTTCTTAAGCAGGGATTTAAGCGTAGACATTGCAAACTCTATTTAACCATAAAGATTTTTATTAGAGTTAAAACTAAAGTATCCTTTGCCATTCTGTGCTTACTAAGACAGCTTAAAATTCCAAAGGAATTTTAAGGATCAACTGTTTAATTCCTGCAGGAAAAAGCTTTTCCACACTTTTAAGACCAGAGGGACATTGTACTCCATTACCACGCTATGGAAATGCCTGCTGAAAACAGGGTTGGGAATGAAGAAACGCTCAACGTCAGAGTATCAACCTGCAGAAGAAAAGGGTAAAACAGACCTGGTCTGCCTTCTGGCTCCAAGACTGCAAAAACCCAGAGGAGCTACCTAAAAAAGCTGGGCTGGAGAGAAAACAGAGAAATCAAAACACACCATGAGACAAGAAGTGAATGGCGTTCGCATCTGCAGAGATGAAATGGTTTTGCTTCCCCGGCGATAGGCTGAGCTAAGGATAACTGTGTGGAACTGGGAAAACACATGGAGTTTTTTATGCTCCTAAAACTCATTTAGAAATAGCAACAAACCCGACTTGAGGGGACATTACTCTCCTTTTTTTTTTTTTTTCTTTTTCCCTGAGACAAGCAAATTGAAAAGAGCTTTTTTTTTTTTTTTCTTTTTCCCTAAGACAAGCAAATTGAAAAGAGGCAAAAAGATCTGATGTCTTTTCAAAAAGATATCTAGATTACTTCAAAGATCAGAGTGAATCTTATATCTGAATACAAAACAAAGATGTAGAGAAGAAAGCTGACAGATTCCCTGAATCTATTCCACAACGAAAAAGTGAACAGTTTGCCCCCTTCTCTGAAAAAATCCAACATAAACACCATGAACCAAATCTGCTGCAGAACCAGGTGAGATACCTACTCCTGGTGCATTTATCTCCCTTAGGTTTGCTCCCCGAGCCTGCTGCTAAGGGCTGTCTTAGTGCAAAGGGTCACTGCATTTTTCTGTAGGAAGAAAAAAAAAAAAAAAAAAAAGGTAAATACAAATCCCTGGCTATTTGGGCAAAAGGGAAGAAGACAACTCCAGAGAAAGGGAATAAGGGAATAAAACATTCTGTGCCTTCTGAAAGGACCCAATTCAATCATCGCTGGTCCTAATATCCACATATTTTCTGCCTACATTGCAATTTTCCACTTTCTTCAATATATGGACCTTCAGAAGTTCCTCATATGTAGCTAATACGGATCATACCAAGACACGCGTTTCTTTGTCAGATTTTGCAGAGCCCTCACAAATAATCCAGGCACTGCAGGGACACGGGGGCTACAGGTTGGAAAATAGTAGTTTATACCATTCTAGCAGTGGGAAAAAAACCCATTATTTTCTGTAAATCAATCTGCTCAAGTCCAAGAAAATGCAATTATCCAAAAACTTGGTATCTACAATGAAAGGGGTTTATAACCTGCATAATTATCTTTTTGGCCTCTCTTTCTGCGATTACAGCAGTCTAGTCTCATTAAGCAACAGTGACAGGGAGCCAGGCACCAAATACATGATTAAATACCTCGGTTGAGAGACATGCCAGTTTCTTGGAAGTGGGTTTTGATTGAATTCCAAAGGGAATCCATCTGATCCCCCACCTTCCCGGTGGCCAGTGATTGATTCAACTCACTTCCAGCAATGTGATTTTTCTTTCTGACAATGCTCCTTTAAGGAAGCCACTGGAGCGAAAACCCCGACAGAATCAGAGTAAGATCACCAGGTTTGTATCTGTGCTGCGCTATCATCACTCTTCCCTTTATTCACCCTCTTACAGATTTTCTCAAAGGACTGAAAAAAAAAAAAAAATCAGTTATTCCCCCTTGTGTAAATCTCCCTAGGAAATTATTTTGTGCTTGCATCTTAATATTGGGTAATTATAGCTTAAATATGAACTATCAAACAGTGGGGTTTAGATTTAATAAAAGGGGTTGGAAATTGCTGTAAAGCGAGAGGAGGAAAAAAAAAAGCCCCAGAAGGCTCCTATCAGATTTCATGGGGGAAACGACTGCTAAAGCACCAGCCATCCTCTTAAAGAAATTGCCAGGTGCAAAAAGATCATTTTTGTTCTGGGCACAGCCAGAGTAAAGTGCGTTTCAACATAACGGCACAAGTGTAGCCATCAGGCAGCTTTTCATGTTATTTCCTCCAGCATGCAAACTTCCAGCTGCCCTAACAGCCTTCCTGTGAAAAACACGGATCAGCTCTGACTCTCTGAGGTGGAGATGGAGCTCAAGACTGGAAAAAAACAAAAACAAAAAAAACCAACCCAGATCAGAGCCCAGGTCTTTTACCCTGGCTATTGGAAAGAGTCTGAGTCCCCATCCCTCCAGCTTTGCAACCCAACCAGCAGCAAACTCCACAAGAGCAGCAAGAAGAGTCTGGAGGAGAAACAGAGAAGCAAAAGACTCAAGAAGACACAAAGAAGAAGAGCCCAAAATCTGTAATAACCTAAACCACACATACCATACAGCACAAGGAGAAGACAGAAAATCCTCAGAAAAGTCATTAAATTAAAGAATTTTATTTATTTTATTCTGCAGCAGCCTCACACCATGGTCTGGATCTAGCTGGTACACAGGGAAGATTATCCAAAAGATCCTGACTCAACTGTCCTTTTCCAAATCCTAATTCAAAATCGCACATTGTAAAACAGCATTCAAGCACACAGGTGTTTTCAAAATGAATAAACCCAGAGGCAATGACTCAAGTCTCTATGGTAACATTTTTGCTATTCAGAGAGCTGCACCAAAAGAAGAATTTGGTCAAGCGCATCTTGCTCTGAAAAAATCAAAGCGGGAAGCTTTGCTGTGGCAAAGCCATGAGGGAGTGAGGTTATCACCCCCCACCAGCGGGCAAGGCTCGGTCTTTTCAACTGGAGATTTATTTCCCATTTTAAAGTAATTCCAGTCATTGGCTTAACAGCAAACTCATGGCAGCATAAAGACAATTCACCTGCTACCGGAGGAGACCATCCAAATCTGAGAGGCAACACATGAAAGCCCTTCTGGACCAGCACCCTCCACCCCATCCCTCCATTCCGAACTCAGTCTCCTGGAGACGTTTGCTGACATGATTGCGAGGGTGACAATTATTCCCACTTGTAGAGCTTGTGGAAAGTTTCCTATCGAGCAAACCTGTGGTTAGAATCCAGAACGAAGCTTGGGGCTCTCACAGCCGTATTTATCTAAACATTGATAGGGAGGGAAAGGCACGGATGAAACCAGCTGTGCATATCTCCTTTTTTGCCTGGAGCTTCACAAGCTGCCAAAGCCAGGAATTACACTACTGTTTGTAAAATCACTGAAAGAGAGGTTCTGTGTGTCTTCTAAACAAAAAGAACACTAAAATAATAAGGCACAAACTCAAACAGCTACTATAAAGCAACATACCACTGGTTATATCTTTTCTGTTGGGGTTCATGATCTTATTTCTGAAATGCAATAAGAGGTTGACTGAACACGTGTGACACATGGATGTAGCAGAGGATGTGTTGTTACTCTCATTTTCTGGATTTCTCAAGGCTGCATTTATGTGCAGTAACCAAAATTGTACTGCTCTGTTGGGCAAGTATTGATTTGACGTGCACTCTTGCCCTGAGAAAAAGGGCTTTGGCTCAATGACGTGACCCTACATGGTATGGACCACAGTAGCCCTTCGGTCCACTCAGGGCAGCTGTTCCAGCTGTGTCCCCTCCCAGCCTCCTGCCCAACTCAGCCAGCTCGCAGAGGACCTAGGAAGTACACACAAGGCTGCACAGTTTCTTCTGCACCTTGGGAAAGGTCTCTTGCCTCAGTTGCCGAGGCCAAACCGCCAAAAGTGGCACGACAGAGGTTATTCCTGAACCTCACTAACTGAGAGCCCCCAACAGCAAGTCCTGCTTGGGGACACCCGGCCCAACTCGCCCTCCCTAGGGAAAAATAAACACATAGATTAAGGGACATCTGGAAAATAAGACATGAAACAGAAATTCCAGGTGTTCAAATGGACATTTGTACTATTCGGTGAGACCAACAAGATAACAGCATCAGGCTGCTTGATTAAACGCAAAAATCACATCAGTTTTTCCCTCGTTGCATGCTTCTGGGGTGCAGACCTCATGAAGGTTGTCCCTAGCTGCGCACATGACGTGATGTCATAATGCGCTTCCGTGACGAGCCAAGGCCTCTCCCCAGGGCCACCCGGCAGCTGACACGGAACCCCTCTTGCCCTCACCCTTGCCGCACTCTGCAGCACTCGATAAGCTCATATGCGCCTGGTGCAATGGCCAAGGAGAAAGGTGAAGCATCGTTGCTCCTCCAGGGAGGGTTTGCACCGGGCTTCTGTCAGAGAAGCCCCTCAGCAACTCTCCTGCTCTTGCCGTAGGCTTTGTAGCCACCTCCAGCACGGACGAAGCCCAGGTGGGCACCTGGAGGCTGCATCGCCCACACGGCCTCATCTTGGCCCAGTTTACCAGCCCAGGGCCCAAGTATGCCATTCCCGGGACAACAGGTAAAACCACCATCGCAAGGGGGTGTCCTGCAGCAAGGACACAGGCCTGCCAGAGGAAGGCTCAGGCTGCTGTGGGAAAGCCCCAGAAAAGAGCTGCCAGACTCTGCTGAGCACAGAGGCGGCCTGTGTGTGTATCTTTGCTGTGAACTTGTTGCTCCCACCTTGCACTTTTCTTCTTCCCCTTTCTTCTTCCCCTCTTCTTCTCCTCCTCGTCTTCTCATTTTCTTCTCCTCCTTCATCTTCTTGACTTCTTCTCAGTAGAGTTTTGATTTCTTTCCCATTGGAGCTCCAGGAAAGAAAAAGAACACAGAGGGTTTAATACTGCAGAACAACAGCATTGTGGTGATCTCCTGATTAATTGCACAGTGCCTACACTGTTGTTGCTGGAAGTCATTGTACCATTGTATTGGCCCACTGGTATCATCCTTAGAGGAAAAAGTCACACAGGAAGGGGACTTATTGAGGCTGCCCACTCTAGCTACTCCCCTTAGAAACTGGCTTTCAATATGCACTTGCAGGCAGGTCCTTTCACAGGCTTTTCTTCCTAGGTTACCTGGGGCACAATCCCACTAAAACAAAAGCCCCCGTGTGCGCATTTCAACGGGCCAAACCACCTGTGGAGGACAACTGCTCCCCAGGTCCTCGCTATTACGTCCCACCTTCCATCACGAGGAACGGGAAGTATGTGCCTCCAGCACAGCACATCTGTGGACTTCCCAAGACAAAGACCGAGATCACCCCCGGACCGAGTGAGTACCATTTCTCCAGCGTTTCTTCCAGGCAAGACAAGGGCGCCTTCCTTTTGCCCTGTGCTCCTGGGGTGCAAAACCATCAGCTCACACTTGAATGGGCTTCAGAGGCTTCCAGACAAAACAAACAAGGCTGAGCACCTCCTCCTGATGTTTGCTCTTTGGCTTGAGGAAAAGAGCCCAGCTTCACTGCTTTTCTCTGCTTCTCCTCTGCCCTAGGCGACTATTCCACCGAGAAGGCCAATAAACACCTATACAAATGCGCCTCGGCACAGTCGATGGCCTTCAGGCACAAGGCCTTTAAAACTGACCAACCCCCAGGTAAGGGACCTGGGGGAAATACACACGCTAGCAGCCTGCTAGCAGCCTGCGTGTCCACCGGGGAAAATCTGCTGGACAACCCTCTTGGGAGGAGGGGGCAAGATGTCCTTCCTGCTCTTCACAGCAGGCTTGGCAACTGCTTCTCCAACCCAGCAGCTGCTCCTCTCCCCGCAGGACTCACACGCATTCTTCCCATTCTCCTTCCAGGTCCTGGTGCTTACACCCTCCCCAGGCTGGTGGGACCGAACACAGCTTACACCCACGCCAGCCCGTGCTACTCAATGAGGGGGAGGAGTAAGCACAATGACTTCGCTGAAGACCTCTCCAAGGTTAGGTCCGCTTCTCTCTCGCATCAGCAACTGAAGCTCAGCCACTCTCCTCAGGGCAGAAGGGAACACACACTTCCCAGCACAAGCAGCAAAACCCAAGAAGCCATGGGTCCCCTGGCTCTCCTGTTATTAACTGTGGGAGCGAGGAGGCTCTGCTGACACCTGCAGTCCCTCGCTTTCCCACACTAAGAGTTTTGGTGGGGCAAAGCTCGTTGGCGCTAATGGGAATCTCCTCTGCCTCTGGGAAATGTGCCTCTTTACAGGGGAAGAGGACATACCCTTGTTCCAACCGCTCCATGCCTCTCACGCCACTTCTCTGGCCAGCCAGCTCAACTGGTGCAGCTCACATGGGCACCCAGAATCAACACTTGCCTTTTGTACCCAGCAACCTCCCTGCCTCTCTTACAGACGCCAGGTCCTGCTGCGTTCGCCACAGTGGATCTGGATGTCTACACAAAAAGGGCTCCAAAGTACACCATGGGAACCAAAACTAGCCTTGGAAGAGACAAAACACTGAAGCCGGGGCCAGCAGATTACTGCATAGGCAAGGTAAGGCAGCCTGCCCGCCTCTCCTCCCCTGCTTTGCAACAACCAGCCCTTAGGCATCTCCCTCTTTGCACGTCACAAAGTCTGGCTAGAAGGCCTCTGGACTAGGAGCAAGTTCCAGTGCCAGCTCAGCTCCAGCCACAAGCTCGCCCTGCCAGATGCAGTGGGCACGTCACTCCATTTTGCATCAAACATGAGATCTTTCCTTTCAGTGGCCTTCTAAAAACACTCAGGGGATGTATGGTACCTGCCCGGTAACTCCTTTTCTCTTGCCTTTACATTCCTCCCCAAAAGAGGAGAAATGCCAAACCAGGAACAGCTGCAGACCATTGGAAATGTCCTGATAACCCAGGAGGTTTCCAACAAGCGTGCCACTGGGACAGGGGGAGTTAGTGAAAAGTGCCCAGGCACGCACACAGCGTGGCATGACAAAGGGCAAATGCTTGTACATCAACTTGTTGTGCCAGACAGCCTTCGCTGAAGACAAGGCCTTGTGAGAACAAGGCACCATGGTCACCTTTTTGTCTTCTCCTCACTTCTCCTCACTTTTCTAGGTAACATTGATTAAGCCCCAGGCACCCGCTCCCACTTTTGGACTACGCCATTCCCTCTACAGTATCCCTCTATTACTTCCCGTATGACTCTAATAAATAAATGTACCCACAAAGGTCTCGTCTGTTCACCTCCAGCTGCGGGGAGAGGGGATGGGCATGAATGAGGACAATCAGCTCTCTCCATTTCCCATCTGTGCCTCAGCCAAAACATGGCAAGATGAGGACCAGGGGAGAGCCCTGAGATAACACCGTGAACGAGGCAGAGAGCACGGACAGCACCGTTTCACCAGACCGGAGCTAACCACTGCCCCGTGAAAGCGCTCCAGCCCTTCCCCACGCCCTCTCCCACCATGGCCGAGCATCCTGCAGGCACAGGCTTGTCCCCAGGGACACAACCCATCCCAGCACCCCCGTTTTCAGTGCACAGGGGTGGCTTCTCTCCACGATGCTGCCAGAAACGCAGCCGCTCTGCACAACCCCTTACCACGGGCTAAATCCCACAGGCAAGGCCCCAGAACACCCACAGTTAAGGAGGAAGAATCCAACAGCCATGACAATGGTTGTGTCCTCCAGGTCACTTTATAAAAGCTTGCTGTTCCCTCAGGAATGTCACCAACTAGCTGGAGTGCAGCAATATAAATACGTTATAGCTTTGAAAGAGAACTAATAGAGGAATATTGGCCTTCCTACGCCCGAGTTTGAAAATGGAGACATAATATAGTCCAAATGTCTTTGAACAAAACTTTGAAAGAACTTATAATCTAAATTAAAGAAATTATTTTGCAGTCAGTTACTCTTCATCATGAAGGAAAATAACTCCAAAAATCACCCAGAGGAGGTTGTATACACTGTATTTCACTCATCATGTGCAAGTATACGCATACCCATGTGAGAATACAGGTGTCTGAGCACAAAATACCTGTAAAATGGATATAAACAACAGGAAAAAGGAGAAAGCCTTCTGCTGTCGCCACTCTCTCTGTGTAATCCCCTTCCCCCTGTTTTACTCTTTTGCAAATTGCTGCTGCAACACCTTTAAATCAAACAATAAACGAGTGTTGTTCCTCGTTATTTACAGCCAGCTGGGGTTAATAAAACTCATCATACACAATTCTGGTGCCGGCAAGAAAGCCATAATTCATAGCTGTGATCTTACTAACGTGTATTAATAGCTTCACGATACGCAGAGAAAACCGAAAAACAGCAGCAGGTTTAAACAAAAGCAGCAACATTTCTGACTCTACACCTCCCCCTGCAGGAAAACGAGCCAAAGCTAGATAAAAGAGATGAAAATTGGGTCTTAAAGCTGATTTATACAGTAGGGCGAAGGGAAAAAAAGGGCATCTTCTGTTGTTACTTTACACCACATGAATCTTCAACAGTTGCTAGCTCAGACTTCAGTGGTCTTTCTGTTTTAAGACATTTAAAGTTCTGAGTTACTCCAAATATTTTTTTTTTAACTTACAAAACAAATACCTACGCCGATTATTCAATATAAATGTCTCCTAGTATGTGCTGCTCAAGTTTAGCCTTAAGGTAAAGTGGGAAGATCTGTAAATCAATGCACACTTGTGACCACTCCGGACTTCCCAGCGCCACAGCGAGGTTTCCAGTGCTAGAACCAGTCTGGTTACTGGGAAATGTCCTTTATGAGGCTGGAGAAATACCACTCGGCAATCCTGACTCCATTCGATGAGAGAGGGGGAATTACGGGCATTGGCACAAATACGTTAGCCTGAGTGTTATGACACAAAAATTTTGATTCAAGATTAATATTGCTTGATTCAAGCTGAAAATTTGATTCAAGCAAATTAATGCTGGGGTGAAATTGAGTAAGAAATTAATACTTTAGAAAGAAAACTGAAAAGGTAAAATCTTCTTTATTTGCTTAAAAAAATCAAAACTGAAAGTCTGTTCCCTCTGCACGAGCCAATTTTGACCACCAGCGCTGACTGCTGAGCAGAGACACGTGCTCTGAACAGAAGGAAAACAAGGATCTGGAAGAGCTTTTGCTATTTTTGCTTTTAAACGCAAGATAATCCAGAAAAAAATAATCTGATTTACACAACAGTTCTCAAATCCCTGAGGATGAAGACTTGACGCTTGGAGATATTCAAGGATCCGACCCCTGGCAGTGCACCCCCAGCTGTTATCTTCTCCATTTACATCATTTTTTTTCCTGCCTGATGCCTTGTTTTGAATATACTGGTAGGGAAAAAGGAGACCCAGCTCCCTCTGGGTGTCTATTTGCCAAAGCTGTTCCTAAATAAAGGAGGTAGAACACCATCAAAGACGTATTTGGAATAAAATGGCTTATAAATAGCACAGGAGGTCTGAGATATGAACTCACTGTCTCCTCCCACAGCAAAGCAGGGATGGAAGAGATTTCCCCCACAAACGAAGCAACACTGGCTGCAGACATTCCCAAAATAACCTCTGTAACCAGCGTCTCATTAATTCCAATATCAGGAGCACAGCAGTTTTGGGATTTCCAATCCAATCCTTTGGCTTAAATTCTTACACTTAGTCTTTTTCTGTCTATGGCATGAGCTATTTTACACTGAAATTGAAACTAAAATCATTACGAGGCATTTGTAAGAAAAAGCTTTCCTCTTAAAAAGCAAAATAAAATTACAACAGGGAAAGCACCACAATCCAGCCCTGGCAGTCTTTGAAATTTCCCACTCAATAGGGAGAGGTACCTAGAACCTGTACTCTTTTCATCTACTGCCAAAGAAGAATATTTGATAGTTGGTCTTGCAAACGGCTCAACATTTCCTACTACAAGACCCTATTTTTTGAATGTGCACAATTTCGCAAATTGTTGCCTTAGGATAAAGTTTTCCAGCTCAGATGTCTGGCTTACATATAACACATGGTTTTGGTATGACACAGAAGAGGGTTTCAGCATGAGGGAATTTATCTGTGGGATTTGATAGCTGAAGATAAACACAACAACTCGCTATACACTAAATAACAGAGATATTTTTTATTGTAAAAGCACTCAGTAGGCTGTTCCTTTTTCAGCGGGTCCCACCATTCCTGTGCAAAGGATGATGGAGAGCTGGGCTAAAGCCAACGTGTAATTATGTCACTAAAGACTCAAAGGCTCAAATTCAAGTTGCACAGACAACGTGAATCCTGACATTCTTCAGGGGGACGCATCTCCCTTAAGTGTCTGAAAATTAAGACATCTTGGGCTTTCTTTAAGGTAAGGAGAGGAAGACGCATCCTGGAGGAGTGATTCACTGCATGCCAAGAGAGGTGGCTGGGAGAGGTCAGAGGAACGGCATCAGGTGGGCTTTCCACCGGCTAAATACGGAGCACAGGTGATCTGCTCAGACTCGCTCTACGTCAGAGATATCTCAGTTCAAAAAGATGAATCCCAACCTTCCTCAATTTGTTACTTACTATTTTTATAAAATTATTTTTAAATTCACAACAGGTGATGCCATTTTATCTGTAAGCAGCACGACAACAGACAAATGTGAAGCTGAATGCTTTAAAACACAGAACTTGCCTAGCACCAAGGACTTTCAAAGGAACTTCAAAAAAATAAATGTACCAATTTAAATGCAATCCTAAAAAAAATATGTGGCACTCATACAGTTAGATCCTTTAAAGCTGGGCTATCAAACTTCACCCTCCTCCTGATCCTAAACCAATGTAATATATTTCATTATCAAATTATCAAAAGACACTCAGATTATACTTGCCTTCTACAAGAGGTGGCACTTTTACAGCACTCTTTATTGCCTAATTAAGTTCGCAGGAGATTAAGAAGCAGATACAGATTTTCCTCTTTCCAGAGAGGAAATGAAGTAGATTGACAACTGCCAAAAGACATAAAGCTAGAACTGAAACTATGAATATTCTGATTTAAAAATTACCACTGAAATTGCACAGTGACACTAGTCTTGGCAGAAAACCACACCTGCTCTGCTCTCTGCAAAGGATTCCCCGTTCCTCCAATCACAGATATTAACGTCCGCACACAAGAGGGCAGATCTGCGCTAGCATATTCCAGTTTCAATATTCCCAGTTCTTGGTGGCACAGGGATTACCGGGCTGTTATTTCAGGGAGAAGAGGATGAAGTGAAGTATATTATACAATTTAATTACCCAAAAATGATAATTCATTTTTTTAATCTCACCATGCAAAGCTAACAGCTGTATCAGATCCTGAACAAAACACACACAGCACTGCTACCCACGTATTGTAGAGAGACAAAAATATCAGATTATCTTATATAAAACAATTACGTAATTACCAATTAATCTATGTTATTTAGAAACCCTTTTCTTCCCACAGGGTTCAAATGGGATAAAAAATCTGGCTTGCACATGGCCAAATGGAAACAAACTACTACATACAGATATCGAGAAGTGCATTTGCTCCCCTACGACGACAACACTTCCATGAACGTCTTCTCTTTTTGACACACTTAAAAGTATTAATTCATTTAACTCAAGGGGGTTGTTTTTAATCTGGATTTCTCAGGCAGCTTCACTCTTACAAGTTCAAAGGCAGCTTTGAAGCTGGCTCAAATGAACGGCTTTATATTGATTTAAGAAAATATATCAGGAATTCAGAAATTATCAGCTCCCCAGTGCGCAGAATCGACTCCTTGGGGTACTAAAAAGGTCTTGTTCTTCAGAGTGCTCGAGCTGTTAAAATACTTGCAGAATCCCTTAAAATCCCAGCAGGAGCAGAAGGGATCCCCATCAACTCATCTGCGTGAGCAGGAGCTGCCTGGAGAGAGAGCCAGACACATTTTCGCAGGACAGATCAGCAGAAGCCACTTACCTATTTCTGCAAAATCTGAAAGTTATTTATTATCTAACAGTCCCATTTTGAGCTTGCTTATAGTCATGAGCACTTCTGTACCGGAGGCAGGACCAGATAAAGCGAGCTTTCCTGCCCATCAAACCAGCAGGTACCATTATTTTCTATTAGAACCCATTGACACCTTTGTCTTCAAGCATGAGCACCCACTGTCAGGATTTGAGCTCAACACTGACACGGGATTCAGCTGCACTAGAAGAAGGCACATCACTTGAGAATATTTCCAGATTCCATT